AGCAGATTTAACAAAAACAATTTTTTGTTTTAGTACACTATCGAGTCATCGTTGTCAGTCCAGACCTAACTCCAAAAACCGATACCATATCAGTCAAAGTCTTGGATCCGAATCAGAATATTATTACTCAACAAGTTGATAAACCGCTAGTAAAAGGTTCTATTTTCAAACAGTAGCAATTACAAACTTTCTAGCAAATGCTGTAATTTCTTAGCAAAGCAACTTGTTCATCCTTGCTACATAAAACTTTATGTTCTCTAGTAAATTTTTTAAATTACTTGCAGTAAAAAGATTTATTAGTAATATTTTCAAAAGAATGCAGTTTTACAGTATATGTTGTTAAAGGTATTTATACCGATGAGTTGGAATTAGCAGCTGAACCTCCTCTTGGAGACTGGACGATCAGCGTCGTCACCAGTAAAAAAGCAAAAGTGGAAAAGATGTTCACAGTTGAAAAATACGTCCTACCCAAATTTGAAGTTAATGTCAAACCACCAAGTTTCATTACGCGAAACGACGATCTCAGCGTTGTTATTGAAGCCAAGTAACATTCTATCACTTCGTTCACTATAGGCAATTTATACGTGTGTGCTAAGCAACTTTTTCTTTGTTCTAGATCAAATGTATGAACGACTATAAAGTTGTATGGTTTTGTAGGTATACATATGGCAAAGGAGTTGCTGGTAAAGCAAAAGTTACGCTTTTCAAACCGTGGTATAATTTTAGACCTCCTATGCTACCACCCGATGTATAATTTTTTATCCTTTCACTTTATTTACTCTCAATATATAATTTTTTATCTTTTCACTTTATTTACTGTACAAACAAATGTCTTCTTAACAATAGTCCTGAGCTTAATTTTTAAGTATGAAAAATGACAGTTTATAATTGAAATTATATTAGCCTCAACCGCTGACGTACATTCCCGACAGTACTATTGAACGTACTGTGAAGCTGAACAGTATGGGTGAAGCTACAGTTGTTTTCTCCAATGAAGAAATAAAGAAATATAACTTCATTAATGAATACACTGGTTCTGGTGCATTGAACATCCTAGCTACAGTTTCAGAAGAGTTGACTGAAATTCAGCGAAACGGTACCGCAGAGGTGAAGTTTGCTGCTAATTGTGGTTTTCAAAGCGTTCTAGCCGAAAATGTCATTGAAAAATTTTTCTTTCTAGGTCTTGGCCTATCCTCATGACGTGCATTTAAACATTGAAAAACTGGGTTATACTTTTAAGCCTGGAATGAATTACAATTTTGTAATAACACTTAAAAGAATGGATGATACACCGGTTAAAGCCACCGTTCCAAAACGCATTCAGGTAAAGTGAATTTTATATTTTCTGTAATTGAAACGACTCTGATAAAGATTATAGCATTATGCTTCAAAAAGCTAGCAACGTGGAACAGAAATCTCGTTATAGGTGACCAGCATATTCATGTACAAAGATAATTCGAGTGAAAGATACTGGCGAGACGAACGGACAGTACGTATAGTTGAACTGGATTCACAGGGCAGTGTAGTCTACAGTGTTCAGCCACCGGCGAACGCTGTAAGGTTAGCATTAGAGGTAAGCAAAACAGAAATAAACTGACTTTTGACTGTTATCAGCAGATCAGTTTTTGATATTTTTGCTTTCTGTAGATTTAGTTTCATTGACAGATAGCTCTTCGTACAGGTTTCTTATGATCGTCTTGGTGCAGACAACTTCACTGAAAACGCTATATACGACAAAGTTTTTGTTGAAGCTAGCAAAAGTCCATCGCAGACTTTCATACAATTAATATCCGATTACGAAGGGCCTATTGATGCTGGTAAAACAGTGTCGTTCACATTAAAAGCAACAAAAACATTAGAAACAATAACATATCAAGTACGTTTACTCTTCTTTGTCATTTAAGTAAGTAATCCTAGGAATCATGTCTCATATTAATGTTGACTGTAAACTTTTAAGGTTATTGCTCGTGGTTCTGTTGTATTATCTGAAACAACAAAAGTTGATGGTGACCTATCGACAATATCATTTACGGCTTCTAGTCAGATGGCGCCAAAAGCAAGATTAGTGGTTTATTCGATAGTTCAACCTAACAATGAAATTATTGTAGATGCGGCAGATTTCAAAGTCGATGGTCTATTCAGAAATAATGTAAAATTTTAATTTTTTAAATTTTTAAAAGTTTTGACTGTTGCAAAACATTCATACATTTGCCGCCTTTTTTAGGTTTCGATTTCAATGGATCGTAATCAGGTGGAACCGGGTGAGAAGGTTAAGTTGACAGTAAAAGCTGATCCCGATTCATCAGTGGGACTGTTGGCTGTCGACCAAAGCGTTTTGCTATTGAAAAGTGGCAATGACATAACTAAAGAAATGGTATGATACATTTCAAGCATAATGGTCTGGTGACAATCAGAGAAATTTCTTGTTTACACTTCTCTGTAACTTTGATTTTGGTGTAATTGTAATCACTGGGCTCTAGAGACCTCATGTCATACTGTCTAAGAAAATTGCCAGTTTTCTTAAAATAATAATAACAAACTTGAGCAACTAGAGGCATAATGGTTTGGTAACATTCAGAGAAATTTCTTGTTTACACTTCTCTGTAACTTTGACTGTTGCGATAGGAGAGGATTTGAATTACAGGTTGAACGTGACATTGAACAGTACAGTACAGATGCTCGTCATGTTTGGGAGTCTCCAGCGTTGCCATATCGTAGGCGTCGTTCCTTCTGGTATAACTGGATGCGTTTGGATGGACAAGATGCAGCGTCAACTTTTGAGGTACATTTTATTACTTTTCTTTTGCTTTTATTCTGCTGAATTGACAGTTTTTTCTCTTGTCGTCTTTTAGAATGCCGGTCTACTAGTCCTTACTGATGCATACTTATATGATATGCGAGAAGAACAGCCAAGTAAGTTACATTGCTTTTGAATGCCCAAAAATAAATAAGCTTTAAAATTTTTTTGTTTTTCTTTTCAGCATTAGTTAAGAAATATTTTCTGGTAAAAAAAAAAAAGCGAGAAAAAAAGGTAATTCAATCAGCTTCAATGGTTACAGCTCTATCTTTTCTTTTGAATGCTTCATTGCTTTAATAACTTGCATGAAAATTAGTTTTAAAGTTTCAATGAGACGAAAAAAAACGTGGAAAATAATAAAAGGAGAAAATA